GCCTAATGTGGCCTGGCATTAATGAGGCAGATTTCATATCTATGTCATTTGGAGGGATAAAGACTAATTGTGTAAGCCACATAATACATGTGAAGTTTTCAGATCTGCCTATTGCTTCCATGGACCAGGAAAGGGGTCATGCTAATTAGATCTCAGGATGAGTGTTTTAATCCATTAAGTTAAAGCAAAGTAATTCTTAAAATCCTGTTTCCCTGACCCACTATCTTCCACTAAATTAATCACTCACTGTTAATGTGATTTTAATGGTAATTTTTATTTGATGACTGCATCATTTAACTTTATTTAACTTTAACCAGCATTCAACAAGTACAGCTTAGTGATAAATTTGCTATCTACCTGGCTCTGCTTCCAAATTCCTGTCACACTGAGACTGGCTAAGATATTGTGCAGACACAGGAGAGCCACATGCACACTGTTGCTCCTCTTGAATGCTCCAGCTTTAACTTCAGTCCCCTCTATGTGCAAAAGACTTCTGAACAGCAATTTTTTTGACACTTTGGATGATATAATTTTAGCAATTACTGAAATATGGAAGTGTGAAAGACATGGACGTCTCATCTTAAGGTGAGAAGTTAAAATGTAGATTTGCATATAGGTGAAGAATTTTTGTAATTTTCAGCTAAATAATACTAAAATAAAGTATTAAATCAACAAAAACAAACTTGAGCACAAGTCCAAGCCATGAAACACCCTCTTTTCATTTAATTTGGAAGAAAAAGAAGGAACAGGAAGGCTACTGAAAATTTGAAGGCTTTATTTGGAATTTCATCTCGCATGTGTAACGGTTGAGGTGACTGATACTACGATAATTTCTGCTGTAATAGTTATTTATTTTTCTTTCTAATTTTCAGAGGTGCTGAGTCCCCCACATCCCACTTGAAATAGTATTTGTGGATGAACTTGTGTTGCACGTTGCAGACAGAGGTCTTGCATCTTACTCATCCTTTGCTGCACAGCAGAAAGCTTGGTCTTGATCCAAGGACAGCAGTGCTCAGTGAATCAAGCCCAGTCATTTTAAATGGATGTAGCTTTCAAAGAATTAGCTTTACAAGAGGAAACAAGAGGGAACCATTTTACATTTCTGCCTCAATTTTATTTTTTTTTAAAATGTGGGAGGCTTCCTCCATTTCACACATTTGGCATATTGTCCGGTTAGTCCTCCTTCCTGAAAGGAGAACCTGCAAGTGTAGACTGCAAGTCAGGGCAAGGAACATTTTTTCCTCTGCTCCAAACTTCTGCCAGTCCCAGTGAACGATTGATCCACGCTGGGATTTGAATTCAGATCATCTCTGCAGTTATAAAATACTTCCTTTCTCTTTACTGAAAAATTAAAATATGAAAACTCTTTTGTTTGTGAGTACTTCAGTTCACTTTCCAAGTGATTAAACTGCATTTTACAGCACTGCTCTGGCTGGAGTTGTCATCTACAATAAATACAGCATTCAGCATTCAGCAAGTATTCATTGTGTGCCACCTCAGACAGCTGCCATGTCCACTCCACCAAGATGGCTTATCACTGTGGGACAAGTTTCAAAGGAGTTTACTCAAAGCAGATACTTGCAGAATAGTTATAAACCGAGCATTTTAATAACTTCCTCCTCAAACCAAAATATTCTTACAGTTAGTGCCTCACCTTAAGGTCTGCCTTATGCCTTGTATTTTTGTTTTACGCTTGCAGCAGAAGAATAGAAGTGTACTGAAAGACTTTACAACTATTTCACCCTGGAAACTTATCCCTCTGATTTTGAAACAGCACAAACCAGCACTAAGAAATTTTAACTAAGAAACTTAGAAACATTAACTAATGTTCTGAGGCAGAAAGACCTCCAAAAGAATCTCAGTGTTCTGCCTATCAGGAATTGCTCACAGGAATGCTGCGTGTTGTCTTCTGAGGTCACTAACACAAGGGAAAAAAATCAACTCATTTTGAAAGCAAATAGGTTTATTGATCACAATAAAAAGCAGTGAACTTGAGATGAATAAGGAAGACCAACCAAAGGATTAACTCTTGCTTGCAGCAAAAGTACAGTTTTTCTGGAGATATGATGACACCCCTGAATACAGGAACAAGGTTGGTGCAGTGTCATCCCAACCTCTCATAGCATAAAACGGACAAAAGATTGCCTGGGTAGAGACCTGTGTTACTGAGTTAGTGTCTTGATATACACACAGGAGCTTTGGTGAGAAAATGCCTTGTGCCTGGTATTTAAAGTTGTATTAAAAAAAAAAAAAGATAAAACGAGTTAAAGAAAATATTATTCTCACTGAGACTTTAGGATCTAAATACGGATATAATTTACTTTGCTCCATACTGGGAATGAGTTTATTAATCTCCTAGAGGGAGATTAAACACCTGCTGCATAGCTCACTGTTCAGAAGCTATACAGTTCTTTTCAGCCATGAGTACTACGACCATGATCCAAGACCATAAGGATGAACTGCTAAAAGAAGGAATGACTTACAAGATTTTTGGGCAGAAACAGGATATCTGGAGATCCTTCAGTAGAACAAGCAAAAGAACAGCACCCTGGCTTTTGTGACAGGCATCTGTTGAGGGACACTGAAAAACGTGTGAACTTCACGCTATCTTACAAAATCACTACTGAGGAATAAAACCAACCCCTGCCCTAAGTGAAAGCAAATTTAAAGCAGTCTGTTTATTCAGCCTGCAGCTTTTTTCCATTATTCATTAAAATATGTTATTGCAGGACAAGTGGAATTCAGGAGGTGATCTCTCTGGTGGATGGTTTGATTGGTGAGAACATTTGACTTCAACTTTATCTCAGCAAATAATGGGCTCCCTCTGGAATAGCTGAAACTTTGACAGGAAGGAAGAGACATTAGTGGGAATTTCCCCTAGGTAACAGTACCTGGTTTATAGAAATCCTGTTCCATTATCTCTGAATATTATATAGACATAAATATACAGAGCAACAGCATTTACTGAGCTGAATTTGGAAACACAGTGGTCTCTGCAAGAATCTTTGATTTTTTGTTTTACAGACTTCTTCATACTCAAAATGACAATCATAGATTTGAGAAAATTAGCAACAAAAATACAAAGCTTCTATTTTAATGGACTCAGTGCATTTTCTAATGCTTTCTGTACTTCCGTTCTATAAAGTGAAGCATACAATCTACTTCTTTTTACAGAAAGCTTTTCTGAGAAAGTTACAACTATAAATCCAGACTTCACTTTTTTAAAATTATTTTTTGTAAAAGGCTAGATTACTCTCTGGCTAAGAGTCCTATCTATAGTCAACTGTGCTTCCTTTTCTTTGATCAGGACTAGCTTACAACATACCTAATGGAGAAAATTATTAATAGGTAGTTTTTAAATACTTTACATAAATGTGAGGGAAATACATAGAAATTTTTTTATATATAAATGTTTCTGAAATTGCTGTATAAAGCGTATTTTTATTTCTGTATCAGTCCTGTTTTTCTTCTATGTTGAATCTATTTCTATGTATTTCTGTCAAAGTAGAGGTTGCATATGACACTGCAACTTGAAACCTGAGGGGAAAAAATGCAGAAAACACAAATAATTTTACCTTTTATTTTCTTCACTAGTGAATACTACAAAAGTAAAATGCTCTGCACAAGGCCAGTATTAGCTGTGTTTCAATACTTCTTATCACAGTTGTCTCCTTATAATTACATTAAAAATATAAAATAAAAAAGCTAATCAGTTATCCATTGGAAAATGAAAATTTGCTGATAAGATTTAAAGTACATTTGCTTTTATTGTAAGACTTTATACTGTGAAGCAATTCTGACTTAAAAGGATGCTTATAATCTGTAGATGTTTTCCTTACTTGTTATAAGTTGTTATCTAAATAGGGATGGTATGTTGATATTACCATTTATCTTATTCTACACTTTTCATTTATTGTAATGGGCATGAGAGCCTGTCATGCTCTCCCTTTATTAAGGGAAAACTCCTATACTGTTTGACAGAGCTAGGACTACAAGACAATTAGAGATTAATTGTGTAAAGCAGACAGAAGTCTCACACTTAAGATGCAGTCCAGCCGTGGGCCTCAGTAAAATGTTCTGATGGTTTTACAGTTATTGTGCAATATTTCCTTTATATTTCTACTAGTCTGTAAAATCCGTAAGTTAACTTCTAAAATCTTTAAATGTTGCAAAACGAAGAATACTAGTAAAACCTGTGACTTCTAAAAACCTGGAAAAATACTTTTACGACTATCTGCTGCCACAGTGGGGAGTGAACGAGCTCAGCAATGCAGCTTTCCATGCTGCCTGTACACATCTCTTGTTGGTCCTTTGGAGCAGGAAGGAAGTGCCTGGGTTCAGGTCTTGATGTTCTGCAGTGCTTCGATGAGAGCTTTGTTGTACTCTGTGACCAGCTTTTTCACATTCTTCACTATTGGCTGGTAGTCGCTCTCCTGACTTTTTGTTGCTATGACTGATTACAAGAATTAAGGAAACAAACTGCATGTATAAATATTAGCATAATTACAAATCATAAGGGAATTACGATACATTAAGTTTCCTTCTGTGAGACCTGCCAAGGGTTGCAAATAATGAAGAAAATAAAATTTGGCCTAAAAGATTTACATCCGTTTACTACTTGCCTTCTCATGCATGGTAAAAAAAAGATTACATGCCTGAGTCACTTTTGTTTTAATATATATGAGAAATAGGTCCCTTGTGGGAGACTCTGCCCATTGTTGCATTGCAAACAAAACCATTTCAAGGCACTCAGCTGTGTAAAGCCATAGAGTTGGGCACTGTAGATCTCCAAAAGTTCCAATCCAGAAAGCAGGACCTCTCCTTCCACAAGCGCAAGGAGACAAAACTCCATTGAAGGGCCTGTACCTGGACAGATAACACATTGTAGCAAGTTAGGAAGTGCTTTTAATATCCTGATTTTTGCTCTCGGTTTGCTTTAGAGCTTTTTTCTGTTAGAAAAAATAGGATCTACAATACTTAACTTATTAAAATACTGCTGCAGAGCCTTCTCCACAGAGGAAGTGGCTCCAATTGCATTATGTTGTCCAAGACTTTTTTTCAGATTTTTCCTAAGTAGAGCACTTACCAGATACAAGAAATGGGAAATTTGGTGTATGAAGAAGATAACGCTATATGCAGATCTTGTATCAGCATTTTCTTCCCTAATGGCTAGCCTATTACAGAATTGCCTGAAATACATTCTTGTGCCATTTTCTGACACAGGTAGCAATGTCCATTGTTCAGCACTGGATGATACAGTTTAATTTTGCTTTTACTTTTACCAATTACAGTTGTACTATAGCCACACAACAGTGATTCCATGCATTGAGATTTCAGATTTTTTTGTTTCCTAAATAATTTTGAGGAAGTTAACTGATTGCAGTGAAATCAAGTTCCTTAGAATATAAAATAAAAGTGCAAATATGCCCTACACAGATCTCTACAATAACTATGGAGAACAGTACAAGACAAGAAGAACCATAAATTCTAATTAAAAAAACTTCAGTGCTATTGCTAATTTCAAAAACTATCTTATGAAAGTCACTTGCAGCAAAAAAGATGTTTTGGAAGGTGTCATATGATTAGTGAAATGTAAGTCTTTAATTAGTATCCCATAATGACAGAGGTACTATGCAGTTTCCCCCATCCCAGCTCATTTTGCAGCTAAAGCATCTCCTTGTCATATCTTACCACATTTAACTGATTTTTCTCGCTCTAACATATGCAATTCTTCTTCTATCTGGTAAGAAATACATTAATTGCATACAATTTGTTGTTTACTTTTTCATCATTTATATTGATGGTGTTTTAAAAATGCAAAATACCACACAAAGTCACCGTACTATACAGATCTTCAAACAATCCCACACTGGCTGGATAAGTTCAGGTAAGACTGGACATATGTGAAGATTGTCTTCATGTGAAACTTAATGGCAAAACTGACCCAACAGGAAGAACTCCAGACTGCAAGACAAATCTTATGCTTTAGGACCCTGCAAAATTGTTTCAGGCAACACATGCAAGTTTTGCTATGTATAATGTATACCAGCTAAGCAGATATTTGCAAAGAATCACCTTTCTCCTCTTCCCCTGACTCCTGCTCCTCATTCTGTCCTGTCTTTTTCTGCTGGAGGAAACAGACTTCTTCCTTAATTAATGCAGTGCATGAATTTTACTGTATAAAGGATACATTCCTTCATCATAAAGTTATTTTGCTCATGGTGTTGCCACTTCCTCTCCAAATTTGTAAGCTGAAGACACAAAAACAACCAAAAATGAAAATTATTACACACGTACTTTATCTAAAGAATCTCCCAAAAATGTTGCATCAATACTTTGTACTCTATTGCCTGATAAGATCAAAGTTATTTCACCAAAAACCCACAGAAATGAGAAACAACGGCAGTATTACTTTTAAAGCTGCATATAAATTGACACTTTATACATCTATTTACAGAAAAGCACTGCATGCAACTACAGTGGTAGATAGAAAAAATTCGATGAGAATTCAAGACTTTTCATATAGGGAAGTATGTAAGCAAGTTAGAAGTAAAAAGGTGAACACTGCAAGGAGATAGTAATTCTCATTATACTTCATATCAATTAAATGATGTCTTCTTAAAATCAGTAAGATTGAAAAATCACCAAAGATACAAGATTTCCTGACACTGTCTTGGACTTTGAGCTATACAGAAGAAACTTCCTTACTTCCATAGTTAAATTTCCTGTCTGATGCCAGAAGCTGTGATAAGAACAGAGCTGCAGCGAGAAGATTGTAGGAGTGTGGGTTAAGTGCTGGCACTTCTTCAATATTTTCAGCATCAACAGGAAGCTAATGGCTTCCTTACAACACAGTTTTATAATATTTGTTTTTCTGAAGGTACTGTACAAGGTTCTGCATTTCAAGATATGCAGATGTTATTTTTAAGTGCAAAACCTGAAAATCATTCTGAGGCTAAACTTTCAGTGCACAATATTGCAAAGCTTATTCTTAAGCTACAGGATATAAAATAGTGGCTATACTCCTCAAAATAAACCTTGCAGTGAAAGTTCGGTTGTCTAGTGTACTGGTCCATAGTATACATGCCAGTCATTTATTTCCAAGATATGATATTTCTGGCCAATTACAATTTTTGTTGCCCTCTTTGTAGATGTTGTGCCATGCAATACAGCTGGTAAAGGAGCCTAGGTTTAAAACACTGATATATATGAAAGGAAATATGCAGTGCATTTTTATTGTAACCACTTGAATGTCACAACTCATATGGTTGACTGCTTGCAAAATCACTCAAACCCTCAAGATATGTAAATACTATTTGTACTTCAAAATGCTTGATGCATGTCAACTAATCAACTAATTTAAGATATACCTTTATTCACTGTCATGACATTTACACTCTTGATATAAAAAGCAAATAAATAATTTTTGCACACATTTAAATAGAATGCCACAGCTTGATGAACTGAAGAAATGCTGTACAACTTAGGTTTTGTATAAAATTTTTAACATCATGCAAGTATCTTAACACTAGCTGGGTATCCATTTCTGATTTACATAATCTCTAGGAATAAGAATCTGATCTTGGCATTAAAAATACACAATAACTGAAGTCTTGCAGACTTTGGCATGCAGATTTGAGGACTGATACCATCACCCTAGAGTCAGCCCACAATGACCATATGCTACGAGTGTATAGATATATCTTCTCATTTAGAGCTATGCCCTCTTATTTGCTCCATAAAGTTCACTCCAGAAGAAAGTTAACTTAAACATGTAGAAATAGCAACTTCAGCTTTTAACTGAATTAAAAAGTAGCAGTTCTAAAGGACAAAGTTCTTATCAGTGAAATGCAGCAAAAATAATAAATTTCCAGTTTTCAGCTTATTTTGAGGCTATCCATTTTCCTTCTGTGCATTCAAACCTGTATGTTCTGTTGCCAAAATGACAGCAATTTATGAGTGTTTATAATGGAAGAATCAAAGCTTTCAGGAGTTTACAAACATCTTTCCCGATTCACTTTTGAAATGTAAATGTGTATGCAAATATACTCATATACCAAAATTCCTTGGGTTAAAAGAAGTTTGAACAAACCCTAAAAATTCAGTGGTCTGCGAGGAGCAGGAGGATTGGAAAAAAGGGAAATAGGAATTAATAGGAATTAATTACAGGTTGTTAGAAAAAAAACTTACCACCATTAACTTTATAAGCAAAAGGGATAATAACCAATTAGTAGTGACTTTTTCCCTGCCGTTTCTTTCTAAGCTGGTCCTCAAAACTCATTAAGTAAAGGAAAGGCAAAAGGGGGGAAGTTCTGAGCATGATCACTACAAACACTTAAGCAAAGAATTTGCAGATTTTAAGCTTAGAAAGACCTCTGCCTACTAACTTGGAAATAGAAAGCTTACAAGAACTTTATTGGCATGATATTAAATTTTGTTTGAAACCAGAAAATATGAAAAATTACAGGACTTAACTTTAAAACTCCTTGAGAAGGAATAAACTGATTCTGTCCATACAATGCTTCATGTGTATGAGAAGACTGAAACTGTGATAGAAACAATGGAAGAGAGAAGATGTATCTTCAGCTATACCTGAGAATGTGTCTCATTCTCCTGCAGCTCCCTCTTTAGTGCCTCATACTCTGTGTTCAAGTGTTCCATTATCTTCTTGAAAGCATGACTATGTTTTGTTAATTTTTCTTTGTCATCCTGCAGTCTCTAGTTGGAAAAACACAACACAAACTGATAAATGTATGAGTTCATTTGCTGTTGGCTACAAAGTATTTTACTCAGGTCTCAAGATGCTACTTTTTTTTCCTTTCAGAGCAAGATCATATGCATAAAGAACTCATAAGGCCTTTTTTCTAGCAATGAATGGTCTATCCTAAAGATAATATTCAATGGTTACGACCAAGTTGTAGGCTTAGACCATACTATATCAGGACAAGTGGGAACGCTGAGGTTAAGAATTTATAGGAAAGTCATGTGAAACAGGAAGTGCTCTAGATGGAGTTTGCCTTACAGCAAATACACACAGGATAGATTTTTCTTTTTTTCTTTGGGTTCTGTGGTTAGATTGCTAAATTCAAACTTATGGGTAGTCATAAGTTACAGCAGAAAATTTCAGATGAATCACTAAGTTACATGAGAAATTTTGAGGAAGAAAGTTATCAGAAGGTATCCAGCTGATAGCCTGCTACATGCACCTAGTTATTTAAATCACATATATAAGCAGAGAAGCATTTGGATTAATTTGCACTGGTGTGCAAGCCCAGTTTTCAGCCATCAGTCAAGATTCCCAGTCACAGACCTGGATTTTCTTCCACCAAGTCCTCAAAAACATACAAATTATGTATAAAAAGGTTTCATTCCTTTCATTACCTTTTTCTTCTCTTCTCCTGATGCTTTCAGAGCTGGCAAATTATTATAGACCTCCAACTCCGCTTTAGTTTGTTCAATTTTGTCTTTAAGAGAAGCCAGTTCATCAACCATCTTGCCCTCCAAGAGTTCCATCTTCTGTAGGTCCACCTGCAGTTTTTGACTCTCTAGATCAACAGATACACCATCTCCAATAAACTACTTTTTATTTCATAACACATTGCCCAGTATATAAAGGTTTATGTTATACTTATGCAATACAAACAGCTCCCACATATCTTTCCAATTTTGATATTAATGGGAATGTTACTGCGAATGAAAGGAAAAAAAGGGATCTTCACAATCATCCCATAAGGCAGACTCCTATATTACAATTACTGTATTATACTCCATAAGTGAAGAGTAATGAAAACGTGGTGATTTTCTAAATAATGATTTTCTATAACTTATTGTTAAAGTTGTTTATAGCATCAGTCAATTTCAAGTCTTAAAGCAGTGACAATACCTTACAAAAAGTTGACTGCAATAATGCAGACAATTAAAAAAAGATATTTGTTATTTTTTTAGCTTCATGTTTTTGTTATGTTGTCTGTATAGGATAAGACTTCGTTTTATGACAGTAAGTAGCCAATTTTGCTTTACACATTCGCTCTGTACAGGAAAACACTTCCCTGTCTCCACAGAATAAAAACTATCGTAGCTTACAAAATGACCATGTGCTGCAGTATACAGCATTTACTTTTGACAACCCATTTAAACAGAGATTCACGGGTAATTAAAGGAGTTAGAAGTATGGATGGATTCTTATAAGAACAGAGATGTAAAGACAAACTGTTCAGACATGAGAAGCCTAAGAGAGGACACAATAAAGATACATAAAATACACTTGAATCCAGTTTTGGAAATAGGTTAGCCATCCCAAGCATGGAAGGACTAGGTGTGGCTAGACTTGTTTTGGATGGTTTTCTGACCTGCAGCTTTGTCATTGTATTTTCTTCATGTTTCTGAACATTTAAACACATGTCTACATAATCTTATGTTTCAGAGCTGTGTCTAACTCAGAAGAATGATACAAATAATGCACTGTGTCTTTCTACAATCTAATATACCAGGCAAAGTGGGCTACTGGAAGGGATGAGACAGCACAAAGAAACTTATGTTGACAGAGATTTTTTATTTTGCTCACACACTCAGATTTGCATTGGTCACCTTGAAAAAGGGCAGGAAATTTTCTTCCCAGCTCATCCAAGGCAGTAGAGGTCGTCATGGCACAATGGAGTGGATGTGCAGGCATAACAGAGGGAGAGTTCACCTTCTCACCTTTCCAGACTGTGGATATAGTTTAAGTAGGGGAACTACATGGGAAAACCTCACTTGATCAAAACCTTGTCATAGCAAGATTTTGGTAATAATCTCTCCGCTTTTGTATTTATGCCATATAATAATTTATTAGAGTGAAATACTGGCTTTAATCAACATTTCTGGCTTATTGCAGAGTGGTTTGCTGATTTCTTTAGGAACCCCAAAATAAGAAAAAAAAAGACAAGCTGGGATTCTTGTGTACAATATGTAATTATTCTGAGGAACACAATTTAATAAAGTAAGACTGTAAGGGTCCTGTATGTTCAAAGAGTATTTATAAAAATATGAAAAATTTCCATACCAGTAAAAGGAAGGGTTTAAAAAGAAAAGTTTTGTAACTGCATTGCATGTCTGTGATTCAGTGTTTATGGTGCCTTCCACCATAAAGGGCTTAAGATAGCACTTTCTCTGTGTTTAGAGTATTTCAAAACTACCCATGGTTTAACTTTGAAGTTCCTGGTATTGGCTGACATCAGATCCTAAAACACAACAGACCACAGCTCTACTTTTCTTGTTCCTATGGCACTGTGGTGTAAAGACCTAAACATGTTTAAGTTTCTTAATAAACTAGGGCTTTAACATTAAAACCAGTAAAAATAGAATTATAAAATAAAAATAATTCAAATTGAAGAGAAATAGCATAGGACAACTTCATATTTTTAAGGGTTTATTTTGGCCTAATCACAACATCTTCACTTTTTATATAGTTGTTCTAATATTTATATCTTGTTATTTTAAAATAATACATAGTTGACTAAATTGGGATTTATTTTACATGTAAAAGGTAATAACAACAAAAATGCCAAAAAGTCAGAAAGGATTCTTAGACTGTTCTACCTGTATACTCATAAAAATTATGATGAGACAGCAATGGGCTATTCCTATCCATTCCCACTTTCTGGAGAAAAGGGAAGAAACTAGAAGGGGTGAATTTTATCCTTATCCAGCAACAGCCCCAATGAAAAAAACTCAAACCTAAAAAAAAAATAAATCAAAACTTCTCTAGGGGAAGAGACAGGAAGAGGATGCAGCCCAGTTCCTTCTGATAGGCCATGAAGTTGCAGCATCTAGCAGGCAGTGTGTACACAGTAGCAAACTCTCAGACTAACTACAGTGACCCAGGGAAATGTTTTTGGGAAACTATGCCATCAGCGCTTTTGTTTACCCTTCATGGCTTCCTTTTCTTCCCTTTTTTTTTTTTCTCCTAAAGTTCTGCTGATGGACTTTTTATATCTTTGTTACAGCAAGAAAATATGGAAATCCAGACTTTAATCACAGAAAAGAATCCTGAAGATGACTGTGATACAATTCAAAGATTAGGACAAACTTCAACTGTGCAAATTGAACGTTCGCTGTATTTTTGAAATAATTTTAAGATGTTTATTACAGTATCTGTGACTCCTTGCTTTCAGAAGTTTAGTTATGAATTGCTTAAGTGAGATGCTGAAAATTATGTACTGTAACTTCCTTCTCTCCCCTCGTGAAGAAATAAATATGTCTTTCAATGTCTCTATAGCGCCATGTGCTTCTAGAACATCCTTATATTGTAAAGTAGTAAGAATTGATGTTTACATGAAAGAACAAAAATTTACATTTTAACCTGAAATGCATGGTCCAGCTTTTTAGACTACGCTAGAACTGCACAATGAGTATTTGCAGGCAAGCAAAACCTAAATGTTCAAACACAGAACAGAAAAATCCATTTCTGTAACATTCTGTGCATAGCTATTTATTTGCACATAACTACTTTGAAGTTATAACACGGGCTCCTATTTTGAAAATTACTACCAAGTACAGCATGTAATAGCCTTCAAACAAAATGATTTATGGTTCTTAATTCCTGCCCCTTCCTTTCAGCCAAACAAACAAGGAAGGCTTGCTGAACCAATAATGATATTGGCAAAGGCTTATAATTATGAGAACAATTCCACTATAAACAATGCAAATAAAGAACTAAATAGATACTTGTTAAGAAAATGGAAGAAAAATACGGTCTGCTTTTTGAAATTACAGGCAAGATCCTGCAGATTCTTACACTTAATTTGAAGTTTTTGAGTATATTCACTTTGCAGAATCAAAGTCTGAGAACTTGAGAGCTATTAACTGTTGCTGGTTTTGATCCCGTGGTACATACCCCTTCAGAAAAGCACCAACCATAAGTAAGTAATACTAAGAACTACATTTACAAATAATACATGAATAGCTAACTGCAGAAGTCTCTACTTCAATCTATTAAATGCTATTTTAAGATTGTGAAAAATGTTTATTTTGAGGTGAATATTAATAAAGTCAAACTTTTAGTTCAAAGAACTTTGCACCCTTGTATTAAAATACATTTGTTTAACATATATCTGTGCAAGGAACCTGATAATTTACTGATAATAATAAGTGAGATACTCCTGAGGAATACAGACAACTTGTTATTCACAGGAGATTCAAATTGTCACCTTGCCACTGTATTTGTATTTTAATATTCAGAGATCACTGATCTTGTTATTAGTGTAGCAACTCAGGTAATTTTTATGTTTTTTAAGGAATGAATTTGAAAATTCGTTAGTGATCTCACCTGTAAGGAGATTCTTAGCAGTGCTCTGTGATTTCTGCATTTCATTTGATTTGAAAGTGAGGTCTTCCTGCATAATCTTCAGCTCTTGATTGGTAACAGATGAAATTTGTTTCATACGATTCACATTCTGTGTGTTACCAACAACAATAATGAAAACATGCTGTATCTTTGAAACAACAAACGGTAACTAGAAAAGTACAAAACTCTCCTGTCCTAGCACTTTGTCTATTATTTGGCTTTTTTACTACACAGACTGAAAATACTGGAAATAGACTGAAGCAACTTCATAATTTTCATTCTGCTAGCTTTTGATAAAAGATGGACTGACAGGCCAGTGAAGATGAAACAAAAATGCAGCAAGTATAAACTGTGTTGCCATATTGATATCTTTTAAAGTAAAGGTCATTTCCCAAAATATGCCTTGTGGCATACCATACTGAAAGAGTTACAAGACAATGAAAGTGATGATAGAATCAAAGTATTAATCAGCTGAAAGATTTCTATAAGAAAAAATTCCCTGGGAAACAAAAAAGTTAAAAGAAAAAATGTTTTGAAAGTGCCGAAAATGGCAGACTGAAAATGTGAACAATTTACAAAATGTTCACATTAAGTATTACACAGCAGGGTATTCCAGACATAATTTTATTAGATCAGAGAGACGACTGCTATATTGTCAGTTACTTAATAGCAGTAACAGAATACCCATGAACTTGGATTTGCAGACTTTAGTTAAACAGAATATTGCAGTAGTTTTACTTGCAGTATTCTGAAATGTTTATTATTAATGGAATAATGTTCATTATAGCAATGATGATGAGAACAATTATGCAAACATTTCTTTGATTCCAGTCACAAGTATTATCTAATATTAAAAACTCTTCCCCCACAAATAACGAGAAATTAAACAAATCTTCCATGAGGTTTGTTTTGTTTGTTTATTTCTAACTACAGTTATATATGGTTTAATGTTTAGTCCTCTTAAGAAATTATTATGTAGATACTGACTGGATAATATATAAAAAGCATCATCCTTCTTTATCCATTCATTTTCCTGGTCTGTGCTTCTAAATTTCTATCTTCCCACAGGAGGAGGGAAATGCACTTACTCTGCTTGAATGCTCCAGGAGTGCAACAATGTTAGCTTCTATTTGGGCCTTTCGTTCCAATTCTCGATTCTTCACCTCTTCAAAAGTCTCGAGAAAATCTAGAAATCAACAAACATTAAAAAAGCTGCTATTTTCATGGGTACAGCACAAGCTCTCATCCTTTCCAGTCAAAACTTTGTATTAAATTTAAGCTGTACAATTTCAGACAGGTTACTGTAAGACTAATAGTTTATTTAAGAGACATGTGGTAGAGTTCTTGAAACTTGTCAATATTTGTGTTGGAATGAAAGAGAGGACAGTTTTTCCAGAGACGCATATTTGACTGATTGACATGAGATGACCACCTTCTTGAATACTGTTTAGGTGAGGGTTACCACCCAAAGGGAAAGGAGACTGAAACAGTGGAATTAGGACCTAAGAATCAAACCTTTATGATTTGACTAAAGTGGTGTTTTCTCCTTGGCATTTTGGACCTTTTATGTTTTAGGGCTGTTTTTGTTTTTTTTCCCAAACCTTTGAACTTACTTAGAAAAATTAAGCAAGTTGTATTTACATCTCATCTTTTGTCTTTCTGCAAGCAACTTTCCTTTTCATTACACCTGTCTCATTGACTTCGTTTCATTTAAGCACTATGTGTTTCACAGATTCATAAAAAAATTAATGGAAGAGTCTGCAAGAGGTCTAATTAATTAATTTGCTCCAGGACAAAAAAATGTGTGTGCCAGCAATTCAGATGTTTGTCTGCACTCTTCTTACACACAGCTCATGAGAGATAATGTTTAGTCCCCCAGAACAATCTATTCCAATGTTTGGTGAGTCGGAATGTAAGCAAGTTTTTTCTAATATACAACTCAAAATATTCCTGCAACTATTGGTGTATTACTCCTCTATCACAGAATCACAGAATATGAGGAGTTGGAAGGGACCTCAAAAGATCATCCAGTCCACCCCCCCTGCCAGAGCAGGATCACCTAGACTGGGTCACACAGGAACGCGTCCAGGCGGCTTTTGCATGTCTCCAGAGAAGGAGACTCCACAACCGTTCCGGGCAGCCGTATCCTCCATGTATATGCAGAGACAGATTATTCACTTATTATTTGAAACAGCCTTTTTACACATTTGACAACTGGCATAAATTATCTAAAACAAAAGACTTGTTCTTCAGTATTTCCTTGCAGGTTATGCTTTCCTCATTTCTCACCAGTCTCTTCAGGATCTCCAACCTCTTTCTTTATGTGCAGAACTAGAGACAATACTCTAACTGAAGCCTTCCTCAAAGCATGCAGAACAAGATTAGTTCATGTGTCTGACAAATTACACTCCTATGTTTACCTACTGCTTTAGTGTTTTCTCCTTCATGTTAGTGTGACACTGCTGAACAAAAAATCTTTCACTATAACTCTGAGCCATACCACAGGGCTGAACTAAATTAACTGCTCCCCATTCTGCATTTTTGCTGTTGATTACTCTGCCCAAGTGTACAAACTTACACTTAATAATTTTTTTCAGTTTTTGTATTTCATTTTTAATCTGCCATAAGTATTTTAAATTCTAACCCTGTTCTCCAATAAGATTTCAGCTTTTCTGATGTAGCTTTTTCTGTGAAACTATGGATTTATTCTCTCTTCTGTCACCTAAATTATTAATAAAAATATTGACTAACATGAACATCCAACACACTGCAAAACTCTACTCAATACATCCTTCCATCTTCACAGTGAATCCTTCATAATTAATAACTTTTAATCAAAGGCACAGTTCAGGTTAATAATGGACAATAATTCCCTAGCTTGCTTCCAAGAACATCACGAGATAGCAGTAGAAGATGGACTGAAGTCAATGTACACATCGTCTGCTACTCTTGCCTTATTCTCTGATATTTTTCTGTCAAAGAAGGAAACAAGTTGTTTGTTCCTGACAAATCAATACTACCGTTACTCATATTCCTTTTTCTGTAACATCTACAAATTGCTTGCTTAATTTTTTCCACAATCCTTCTGGAAATTGATACTAAGCTGACTGGTCTATACTTCCCTGGCTCCTCTTCTTCAAGACAGGTCCCATACTTGCTCTTTTCCTATCTTTAAGGCTTCTGCATGCTCCCCAAATCTCTCAGTTAATCTCAGATCTAGAACTGCATCAGTATCCTCTGGTGATGGGCAGAAGCAGAACCAAAATCCAAAAAGTCAGAAAGATCATTAAGCCTCGCTTTCACAGTTTGCATCCATACTGAAAATCAAGATCAAGCAAGATTTTGGTCTTCCACTCCTCAGGAAATCAGGTAATTTGAAAATGGAGAAACTAAGCATGCTTTTATCCATCTTTCCTTACTGTCAGCTGAGACCTTTCTTTCAGTGTCACGCTAGCAATAAGTTATATTGACCATTTTTAGAGAACACAGTTATAAAAAGGTATTATACACTATGGCCCTCATGGCATATTTATTGATCATTTTTCCCCTCTCGCTAAGTAACAGATCAACCTTTTTGTAAGCTGCATACTACAGTATACTAGCAATAGGGTATATTTTAAAAACAGTTCTGCATTCATCCTCTATTAGTTGCTGCTGAGGTCTCTACAACATTAGAACCTTTTAAAATGTAAGAAAGCTTCAGTAGCATTCATCTTGAATAAACAAATATAAGAAGCCTTAGTTTTAAAGAATTAAGTGATGTCTACACTTGTCCATTTGAAGTTCTGCTTTTAATCAGACCTGAACAGCTGTTTTTATATATATATTATTTAAATTGATTTTAAAATTAATTTCAGCCTTGTTTTTATAAAAGAAAACTGTGTTACTAAGACCTTCAGTGTTTGATGAAAAGCCTTGAAAGATGCTTCAAATATTTATGACTGTCCTTAAGTCCTAAGATAGCAATTGTCCTATCCTGACGTAGACCCCAGAAACTTTATGCAAAGATCAGGACATCAGTTCTTTTCAGCTCTAAATTAACTGAGTGTTAACAATACAAGAAATCCTGTATTTTACTGGAATTAGGCCTAACTAAAGTATATTAGACAACTTACTGTCCATGCTTTCTTCCTTCTTCTTCAGCTCCTTGTATTTCCAATTTTCTTCTCCTGCAAGAGATGTAACATTGATTTAACTCTATGTTGTCTCAGACCTGAATTACTTTAAGGAGGCAAAATGTCAGTTTTAAAAATAAAAATTCTACATGCCTAGAAATGACAGGACTCATCCCATGTCACTCAATGTAGTCACTTTAACTGACTATGTCATACACATATAAATAAAAAAAAGATAATTAGCTTAATAAATCAGCCTCAGTGCAATTTTTAGAATCTTATAGAGGTTAGATTTTTTGATAAATAGGAGTGGGATAAATACTTGGTTTGAACAAATGGAGTCTGTATTATTTTTCTGAAGTCAGGTGAATTTCAGTACTAGAGAACAAATGTTTTTGTGTATTTAGTAACCATGCTTACTTAAAACTTTATGCAGCTCTGTTTAACATACGGGACATTTCAATGACACTTTCACATATTATACTGGATTTTCATATGGATACACAGTTTGTAAACAACAGTATAACAATCTCAGAAATAAAAAGGAAACTAAAAGCAGTAGTATAGGAAAACAAAATGCACAGAAAGCTTTCTACAATTAAGTTTAAAAGAACTTTTACATACACATTCTTGATACTGGTATTAGGAGTAATGAATAACATACAATAAATAATTCACTCCATCTTTGAATCCAATTACTGACTATAAATAACTCTTAATTCAAATGTACTAGTAAAGTGGGAGACTTGATAAATTAGTCACAAATTCCAAGAAGATGAGACAATCCAGCTCCTAACAATAATTTTAAGTTTCAAACATCTAAATTTTTAATTGTTTGAGTCCTAGACATTAATTTTCAGTATAATCTTGAAACTTTAAAGAATACAAAGAAAAAGAATGAAGTAGATACAGATATAACTGAGCAAGCAAATTTCTCCAGGTTGTTCTACTTGTACACTCCCATGCTTTCCTTTTTATCTAGTATATACAAACAATAAGAACAAACGTGGGCCCCTAAGGGACTATGATTCTGCTTCAGCTTCCTTGCAGCTGTGGCTTTGTTCCTTGCTGAACTCTCTCATTTTGCAAGGCAAGTCTCTAATACTTAGTAACTTAGTCTGTTCTACTCTTAAAAAGTTTAGTTTCAGTGAGCCTCGAAACAGAGAGCTACATAATCCATCAAGTATTTAAAGAAAAAAAATAAAGACCACAACCTTTAAAATGTCTTTACAGATAAGTTTTCTTTAAAATATGGCATTATTACATTAATATCTCAGCCTCTAATGCAATTTATGAAGTGTTACATCTATTCCATTACAATTTAATGCTGATTTTGACTTTTTTTTTTTTAACTGTTTCTTTTACCTTAAATTTAACTATAAAACTTTAGGAGCTGAAGTTTTGGGAATGACTCATAATAAACAGTTTAAATACTGATCCAGAAGTAAGGTGAGTGGGAAGGGAGGGAGGACAGGAATCTCAAGGACACACAAACATGCTGATTTACAACAGAAATATGAAAGGCCCTCTGGGATCCTCTCTCTGTTCTCCACTACAGAAAAGGGCATTGGGAGTTTAAATTCCTATGTCTTAAAGCTACTCCTTATGAATATCTTCTTTATTCCCTCTATGTTATACCAACAGGTGTAATTCCCTCTACATAATACCACAACATATCTTTATTCTGAATATCCTGACTGTTCCCAATATGCTGACAGACAGCATGTGCTTTTCTCCTATGCTTGTCAAAAACCTCCTTCTTCAACACAGGTCTTTTTCAAAAACAGTGAAATACAGTGCAGCAATGAATGATACGTAAATTTAACTATAAAATATGAAAAGCTACTCATTGCTTACCTTCTGCATTTCTCCAAAGATATAAAAAAGAGTTGCAAGCCAAATAAAAAGGAAAAATTAAAGCACAGTAGTAGAGTTGACAATTATATTTTCTGGAAACAAGGAAGCTTCAAGCAATTGCTAAGGGAAATCCCATG